GCCTCAAAGGAGGCTCCACCAGCCCTTGGCTCCATACGTTAACATTGCAGAAAAAAAATATACATATATATATATATATATATATACAACACGGGCACTTCACACCATCGTACGTGGTCTCCGAGGAGGATATAAACGAATATGTGCAGATGAATTAACCGTACTTAATCCTGGCTCCGCCGTTTTTTGGCTTTCGGCGGGTTCCTGAAAACTTTGATTCTTTGATTAATTGGATTAAGTACGGTTAATGCATCTGCACATATTCGTTTATATATATATATATATATATATATATATATATATATATATATATATATATATATATATATATATATATATATATATATATATATATATATATATATATATATATATATATATATATATATATATATGCATGAGATTACAAAACAGTTATTAATCACCTAAACAGATGGCATGCACACTCGTTGCAGACAGAAATCCAAAAAAACAAAAACAGCGCATGCTATATAGCATAAACAAATTTAAGGATTCATTTAAGTGGGGGACGTAAATCAGTGATACAGATAAAGAGTTTGCAAAGCCTCGAAAAAGATAGCTTCAATGCAATTTTTTTTTTTTCTAGAGGAAATTTAACTGTTTTGGTCTGGTATATCGCATCATTTGCCTACCATAGTTAGTAGAACGGTACACAACGTTCCAATACTCCATGTGTCTAGTTAAGTGAACGTGTAGATTTGGTGTCAATGCCGCTAGAGTTAACAACGATTTATAATGTTTCCTTCTTACTAATTTTAAACTCAGAATCAATCTTAAGCAAACTGCATGTGTGGAAATTATAAGGCAGGTTGCATATTACTCTAACCATTTTTTCTGCAGTAAAACTATTTTTTGCAGGTTTGCGAAGGTGGTGTTACCCCAGGCAAGGTCGCAGTAGCTCATATGAGAATAGAACAAATAATCGTAAATTAATAGCTTCACACTGCCTGGGAGCGTTTTGCCATAATGGAGTTTCAGACCTAAGATGGTTAATAATTTTGCAAGTAAGTGGTTAATGTCACTGGTCCCACAACATATGTTCCGAAAATATGACTCCAAGACTTTTAAAATTACTGACGATTTCTATTGGCTTAGAGTCACGCTCAATGCTTCTGGTTAGATTTACGCATTTATTCTTGGGTCGAAAAATGATAGCTTTAGTTTTATCAGTATTAATTTTTAAGCAGTTATCTTTTGCACATGCCCCAAGGTTGGACAAAGTGTCATTGGCGATTGTGACAAAATCATCAATTCTATCTGAAGAAAAGAATAGGCTAATGTCATCGGCATATATGACAAATTTTTCGGGACTTATGTTTACAATGTCATTAATTTACTTATCAAACAAAAACTGTCCAAGAATGCTCCCCTATGGGACGCCTGAGTGAATAGGTTTAACGTCAGATAAAAATCGGCCAATAGAAACGTATTGGAAACCGTGTTGCAAGTAGGAGCGTAAAAGTTCCAAAGGTAACCCGCGGACACCATAAAGCTCAATTTGTTTAAGTGAGATTTTATGATTGATAAAATCAAAGGCTTTCAAAGTCCACGAATGCACCGAGAACCTGCTTTTTTTCCTCGAAATTTTTAAAATATATTCTTTTCGCTCTAGTAATGCTAATTCGGTCGATTGATCTTTTCTAAAACCCAATTGGCCGGGAGTCAGCAGGTTTTGTTTATTCTAAAATTAAACTAAACGGGTATGTATTATTTTTTCTAGGCCTTTGGAGAATAACGGGAGGATAGAAAGGGGTCAATAGTTGCTGAGAATATTTTTATCACCCTTCTTATGTAACACTGCAACTTTCTCCATCTGCATCGTTTCAGGAAATAACCCTGTTGTTAAGGAAAGGTTAAGAATGTGACACAGATAGGGTGCTACTAAATCAAGTATGTATTTAATAGGTCGAATTTGCAAATTGTCACAGTCACAACTACTGCTATTTTTCGGTTGCATAAAGAGGGAGCAAACCTCAGAACTTGTGACTGGTTCAAGAAAAATAGAATGGTTATTTCTATACTCTAAGTAACTGCAAAAAGCACCTGTGGTAGTATTGTCACTAACTAAGCCTGCAAAGTATTCACTGAATGTGTTAGCTAAAGAACTACCATCCAAGTACACCCCTCATGGACAATGCTACCTAGAGTCTGCCGATTTCGAACGCAATATAAACCGAAATTTAACATTCTCCAGATAACATCCGCAAACGTAGACTACGCCTGAAAAGGGTTTGTATAATACACTGCCTTAGCTTTTTATAGTATTTTTGTTGATTCATTTCGATAAACCTTAAAACTTAGAAGCTGAGACGGTTCCCTTGTTTTAAGGAAGTTCTGGTATAGCGCATTTTATTTTCTCAATTTTCTTCAACAATTCAGACGTTATCCATGGCTTGCGGATCTTTTTAGACACTTTCAAAGTTTTGCAAGGAAGATGACGATTGTTGATAGTTGTGACTTCCCCCAAAAATGTATTATACGCAAGATTAACATCCTCGCAATTGTATAATGGGCTCCAATTAATTTCAGAGATATTTGCTTTAAAATCATTTAATTTGCGTCTGTTATGTCTTGAAATACAAATGTTCCTGTGTTTCTAACTTTTTTATATGGTTTGGCATTTAAGCATAGTAATACTGGATGGTGGTTACTAATATTAGAACTTAGCGTTCCGAATGTAATCTTATCAGGCTGTGCGTTCGTAATAAAAATATCGATCATTGTTTCACTGCCCACTGTGACTGGAGTGAGAGATTTAATAACGCTGACACATCCGTTTGCTTCGATTAATTTATTCAATTCACTCTTACAACCGCCATCTTTAGACATATCGATATTAAAGTCTCCCACGAAATTAAATCGTACTGGTTATCATTTACACCATGTAAAAGCCGCTCGCAAAACTGAAAGACGAAATACTGCGGCCATCTGGTGGTCGATAAAGCACTCTTATAACGGTATTCCCTGTTCTCGCAGAAAGCACTTCAGAGTCTTGAGTGATACAGCAATAATCAGCCCAAAGTTCGCATTTTATTGATTTATTTACATGTAAACACACACCACTCCCGTGACAAGATGTGCGATTCAAAACGTAACTGGAGTATAATGGCACTTCAAAGACTTCAATTTCTGTTGCATGCCACGTTTCGGTCAGCATTATTACATCGAATGAAAATTGAAACTGTGCAAAAAGAACTTCTAAACTAAGCGCTTTTTTTAGCAGATTGTGCATTCACGTGAATACCTTAAAAACAAAAAAAAAAAGAAAAAAAAAACCCCTCGTTTTTGTGACCAAGAAGCTGTTTCAGGTACCGAGGAAGCACATTATAAACATAAAGAATTACAAAAGATGGATCCTTCTTTTAATCTTTCACGTATCATCTAACGCAGTTTAGGCAGAGCATCTGCAGACTCAATCACAACCGCCAGCTCACCTGCCTTTTGTCTCACGAGAATATTACCATTCACTTGCCAAGCAAACTGATACGACTTTTCTTTCGCCCATTCTTTTGTCGTCCACAATAGTGCTTTGTTTTCCTTTGTCATATTTTCCAGTAAATAGATGTTGTCTAGATCAAGCTTTTTCTTGTTGTCCTGTCTATTTTCTGTCTCGTCTACGTTTTGATTTTTCTTCTCAACCCTGCCTCCCTGAGTCTGCGCTAGAGAAAACACATCGAAACGTGGACGAGACAGAAAATTTGAGACGTCGTCTTGTCTATTTTCTGTCTCTTCTACGTTTTTTATCTTTCTTCTCAACCCTGTCTTCCTGAGACTGGTGTAGAGAAGACACATCGAAGAGTAGAAGAGACAAAACATTTGAGACGTCATTTTGTCGATTTTCTCTCAAGTCTTCATTTTTCTGTTTGTTCTCAACCGTGCATGTGCACCGCCTGCACCAACCTTCTTAGTGAACTAAGAAGTGTGATGCCGGTGGTGACAATGTACAATAAATATTGGTCACAACTTTCAGCGGGAATCGACTCGGATTCAAAGTGCTCGGTAAGCGTCGCGACGCCATTACTTTGCATACTCTTATTTTTGCGCCAGTCGCCCGGGTCTGCTAGAAACGGGCCGCGGTCCCGGGGTTTCTGAAAGGACCGCGGCCAGCCTTTGGCAGGTGAGAAAACTTCCGCCAGCCGGATGTGGCCAGCGGACCGTGTTTTGAAAACCCCTAATACTCTGAACCAACGAAGTCGTAAGTATACGTCTACTTTGCGTTCCAAACAATAGTAATATATCACTCTCAGAAAAAAGGGTGTATTATTACACCCCTTGTCCCATATAATACACCCCGAAATTTCAATTCGACGTACAGCGCCCTATAGTCGAACAAACGGCCCCAAATTTTACCAGGGGCTCGATAGCCGTGTGGTACAACTGATTAAGATAGCTAATGTAGGTATTATTGACTACAAAAAAGATTATCGGATTTTTCTTGGCCCTACTGCAAAAACTCCATGTTTTCTTTCTTTGGTTTTTGATACGTACTTTAGCAATTTAATAAGTTATATCGCACCGTTATCAAGCCCCTCGCAAAATTTGGGCCCGTCTGTTTGACTATAGGGCGCTGTACGTCGAAATGAAATTTTGGGGTGTATTATATGGGACAAAAGGGTGTAAGGTGATGCCCTTTTTTTAGAGTGTAATTTCAAAACCTCTCTGGCATCTCAATGCCGAAACGTTTGATATGGGGATAAAAATAACAAAATACATTTGCAAAGGGGACTTTCAGTTGTTTACAAGTGTGCGGAAATATCATAATCTGAAAACGGATTTGCGCTGCATCAAAACAACTTCATAGTTCAAATGTCATTAACCGAGCGCTTTGTATCTGAGGATGAATGGAGGAAGATCTTGCATCACCAAAAGGTCATTTAAGTCACATTTAAGCGCATTTAACGCGGACACGCAGCACTTGTGTTTTTTCCCAGTTTGGAATCAGAAAACAGCCTGGAAGGTCCTTGCCGGTTTTGAGAGCAATGAATTCACTCTTTCCCGTCTTCGTATACACCATTGCTTTGCTATACGGTAAGTGAGAAAAACGCCATTAATTAGCGAAGTGATATAAGTTTACTAATGCAGCAGAAAGCAATTGTGGAGGGACACGTACTTCTGATTCTAGCCTTACATTTGCGCTAAGTCTCTCTCAGTATGCGTGTAGAGATCGGGCATATGTCTTTTATTCCTCCATTACATAGTCTAATGCGCAGTCACTCAGTTACAACTAAGCATAGTATTTGTCACGTTTGTGCCTTCGTTGCTTATCGTGGGGCGTCTATTGGCTTTAAATTGTTCAAAATGTGAGACGCGATTACAGCTTGGTCAAATATATCTTTGTTTCTCTTCATTGTCCCCTTGAAAAAATTGTCTCGCAACTTAGCTGAGTGATATTGATCTCTACAACAATATATGCTGAGAAATGCTCGTATAAAAATAAAGGAAATCACGTTCATAAGCGTGTGTGAGAATATTTCTGCAAGTCAGCTGCGTCTCGAAAAGGACAGTCAGTGATTAAAAGGATCATGAACTTCCCAGTCTTTTTACTAATAAAACAATCCCCCTCAGAGGCTTCGACACAAATTGACGTGCTTAGGCATATCTAGTTGCCTTTTGCCACCCTCTGGAATTACTTAGACTTGAAATAAATATATATTTTTGATAGAACGTTGAACACGCCGTAAATATACCTGTGTTTGAAATTAAGCATCATGAGCATATGTCTTCACTGAAGAACGCCGGTATTTTGTATACTAATTTAAAGAGATCATTTTTACGTTTAGCCTGGAATAGTGTTTTGCACGAAATAGCAGACTATTCGTTTTTGCATAAAAATTTAGCCTTAATGTTATTGGTACACGTGAAAAATAGTAACGGACTTTTCTTTAATACAAAAAGATTATTCGTTGTTTTGCTCGTTCATGTCCAGGTCTAAAAGTCACTTTCGTGGTGTTATGACTAAAACGTTCAACACTCGCATGGAGAATATGGTTTGCTAGTCAGTAAGGCTCGTAGCTTTCCCTCGCCTCATCTCTGTCCATACACATCTGCAGTGAGCCTATTGAATGTATATTGAAGGTGACGCGATAATTATTCGATTAGACTGTAGGCCAGACTTGAACCTTTAGATTTGCTCTTAACTATCCGCCGTTAACCCTTAATAATAGTCCTTAAACACATCAGTACATTAAAACCTTACCCCTTGCAGTAGTAGTAAAAGTGTACACGATCAGCCCAATAATCAATCAATACGAAAACATCTGTTTCCGATATCGACATGTTCCCGATATGTTTCCGATATCGGGGTGTCCGGTTTCTGACATCGGATCCTATCTATGGACTGTGGGTGTCTATTACTGACATCAATCATATCTATTTGGATATTTAAATGGCTAACTGCGTGCATATGTTTCCGATATCGGGGTGTCCGGTTTCTGACATCGATCCTATCTATCCGGATATCTAAACGGCTAACTGCGCGCCCGCCGTCGGCGGCGCGCAGTTAGCCGTTTAGATATCCGAACTCTTACGTCAGGCAGTTGGGTCTGACGTAAGAGTCGCGACCGGCTATTAGCCAATCCTATCCTAACTTATTCAGATATCAGAAACAGATGTTTCTGATATCTGAATAAGTTGATATCAGATATCAGAAACGGATGTTTCTGATAAAAAATTTTGATTTTCGATAATCGATAATTGATAATCGATCAATAAATTTTACTATTGATCGATGATCGATCATTGGCCGATGATCGATCATCGGCCGATGGTTGACCATCGGTCGATAGACGATCGCTGCCAAGCAGTTGTCACGTGACAACCACGTAACAACTGCGAATTTTATTTACTCCGAAAAAGGCTTTTCAAATACTTTCGGCTCGGGCGGTTGCGAACCAGCGACCTTTCGTTCAGTAGCCCGACGCGGTACCTCTGCGCCACAAAGGGAAGTGAATATTCCAAACTTAGACTTTGTATGCAAACGTGGGTAGTGCTAGGGTTCGCCGCTCTGTTACGCTCTGTCAAGTGTAGTTTATAGTGGGTGATGCTTCCACAAGGTGGCGCTTGAGGTCGCCGTCGCCGCACCAATCATCGTACTCCCCGCCTACGTCGTTGACTCGTGGGAAAGTGTGGGGACACGCCGCTGGATGGCGCCATGTGCCGTGTGGTTGGTGATATTGCCAGACTTTACGTAACGCGTTACAAGTAATTGATTACTTGTAATCAATTACAGTTAAGTGTAATTTTGTAACGCTTCAATTACATTTGTCAAGCTGTAACGCTCGGAGTAATTCAATTACTTTTTTTCTGTAATCAATTACAAAATCAATTACGCAATTACCAATTACATTTTTCATTACACAATTTTTTTTTCTCACAAAAATCAACATAGTCACTCAGCCATGGAGCGAAAATGATTGACATTTTCTTAACATCTAAAAAAAATAAAACTAGGATTACTCGGCAAATCCTTTTTTCTTTTGCGCCACGCTCTTCTACAAGCGCGCCACCAGCCTTGGCTGGCGAGTTCCGGATCTCGTTGCAGATTGCTGATAAAGTCGACGGGAAGCGGGAACTCGCTATTGACTTTTTAGTGGCTTTGTTCCTTAGGTCGACGCGTCAGCTACACGACAAGGTCCGGGTCTGAAAACAAAAAAGGGAACAATAACCAAACAAAATTGTGTAGGCAATATTTTACTGTGTATTTGTGTATTTCTGTCATCGCAATAAGAAGTAACGTGAAAGTAACTTGAAAAGTAATCAATTACTTTGCAGTAATTGTTCAATTACTTCTGGGAGGCAGTAATCAGTAACGGTAATCGGTTACTTTTTTGACTGTAGTAATTGTAATTGTAATCAGTTACTTTTTTTCAGTAACGTGTACAAGTCTGTGATATTCCCACAAACTGTCGCGAGTCCTGCGGCTTATCTTATCACTGACCTTCAGTCTGTTGACATGCTCGTAAGGTGTCGTATGACCCAGGCGACGAACTCTCTATGCCATTCGTGTCGTGAAGTTCGAACTGTCGAGACGTTTGCGAGCGGTCGTTTGACTAGTTGCACGGAAGAACACACTCGCTGGAGCGAGATAGAAGTCTGCACTGGAGACTGTAAGACAAACAACGACTTCTTTGTGACTGCACTGGAACTGCTCATCGATCTGATTGTGTTCGGAAAGTTCCCTCCCTACGAAGTGGACCCAGTTGTGTTCCGTGTAGTGTCCCGCGTGTACGAGCACTACGAGGGAAAGGACAAGGAGTGGCCATCGCACGAGGTCCTTTCACTTTCTTGTCGGGATGGGTGAGCAAGGTGATGTCCAGAGTGACCGAAGCGGAAACGACAGACGTGGTGGAGTTCCTCTCGGACACGGTGCATACCATCAAGCGGTCAGTGCGGTGCAATTATCACATCGAAGCAACCTACGTGTATCGGCTGGCCGCGGATGTTCTTCGATACAGGCTGTTCACTGCGGATAGTGTGGACTCGTGGAAATAAATTGTCATCTTAATTTATTTGTGTTTCATTTTGTCGGATAGAAAAGATCGGGCCTCGCTATCGGCCCGGTCTGTCTTGTGTTGACCGAGTGCACGATCGGTCTGTAGAATGAGCAATCAATTTTATGTGAACCTTTTCTCCAATGCCTCCAGTGAAATATTTCACGATAATACTTAAAGTAAGTTTAAGGTACAGCTGTCCCAACCTATCCTTTTAAATGAACCGTATGAGGTCGCCCTAGAGGAATCTAATTTTCCATTTAGCATCAAGAATGTGACGAGGCCATCTAACGAGATCTATTTGGTCAGACCAACGGACGCTGGGCATGTGGAATCCAGCAAAAAGATTCGAATCCCTGCAAAACAAGACGTCCTCTCGTTGTTGTTAAGTGGGTTGAGAGAATTGTTCGGACCCAAAGCGAGCCTCGTTCGAAAAGAAAGCTTGTATTCCAGAACCTTCCAGAGAAACAACGCTTTGCACATGTCGTCTCTCTTAGCCGAAAAACTTGGCTTCTCAGAGCAAATATTTGGTAAAGGTCAGTCTATGGAAGGCCGTCCCGTAGAGGAATTGACGTTCGATAAAGAGGTTGAGATAGAGCTGACAAGAGTTAAACACGTCATGACACAGGACCGTATTGAGATTCTCGAGGGCTTCTACGAATCGGGAGAACACCTCATTGATGCGATAAACAGTGCGTACCAATCTACACTCAAACTCCCTCCCTCAAAAATGTTGCTTCGTCATAACCCCTACATAAAACTCGTAGCATTGCAGTTGCATCACAATGGATATATATTGATGAATCACCGCTTGTCACACATGCTCGGATTTGGTGAAAAGACCGTGTATACCTCCTTTACCGTGGCAGACCGTGAAGTCGTATTATATCCAAATAATTACATTTTTACGTATTGCGATATCATAGAAGCGGAACACGTTGGTGATGTGAAAGCCCCTCTTTTTAGAGTCGTACCTTTCGTGGTGACTAAGCGAAAAGAGATGATGTCGTATTCATTCAATTTGTTACAATATAATAGGTTGATCGCAAAGGAAGTCAACACCATTTGTCTGGAGCTCGTTGGTGAGAAAGGAACTTACATTCCATTTCTAGACGGATCCGGTCGTGTCGCGGCAACCCTGCATTTTAGAAAATGCACGTAAAGTCAACACCGTGCTGTGTGGACCATTTTTCCGGTTCCGGAGAGAAACATTTGCCGCATTTTGTGTCCGGGCCTTTGGTGCAAGTGGGGAGCGGTCTACTGTCCGACATCTATCAAAGAATATCGCCAGTGTTTACAAAGAGAGTAGCCCCGTACCTCGGTCGAAAACTCGTGGCCACTGGCAGAGACGTAGCAGAGCGCGTCAGACAAGGTTCCTCACTTCGGGATGCCCTCAAAAAAGGAATTGGCAAGACGTATCGAAACACGAGGGACCAGCTTCTGCAAAAGCTCTCCGGTGCAGGTCATAAAAGAAAGAAGACCGAGAAACCTTCCTCAGTCTGCCCACGAGAAAAGAGACGGAAGGGTCTAGACTTTTTT